ATCGTCTTGCAGGTTTTTCGTCCCGCAAGACAATCATCTAGCGAGGCATCACTGTATTCTCATGAAAGCTTGTACAGTTCCCGTGTTCTTATTTTTGGCATGCTTGATTTTACCTTTCTGTTTGGCCTAGTAAAGTACCATCTACGTACCGATTTTGGAATGCTGATTCCAGGGACTGTTCTGAGGACGGGTTTATCCCATGGCAGTAATCCGCCTAGCCATATTTTCTTTGCAGAACAGGAGACAGTAGGAATTCAAATGTTTAGACTTCTGTCTCTCAGATCCAGTAATTATCTCCTTCTAATTAGGGACTTGGCTTTTGCCTCTGTGAGCCTTTTCTCCCCAAAGTGTAATCACAGGCCTCTGAAATACTCTAGATGCCTTTGGCATCACCCTCAGAAGAAAGAGCAGGAACCATTACTGGATTTTCTGCATCTGGAAGCAGGGAAGGGTAATGGTTCCTGCTACTGAACCCCTTATTCCTCCAAAGAACAGCTTGTGAGTTTGACCTGTCTTTATTCATGAGAAGGAAGCTGTTAGTATGAACAGGACAAGAATTGCTAAGTCCTAATTCTTGAAAATTAGAAAAACTGGGGTGATGGATTTTGGGAGAGAATCTGGGGTGGAAAAATAAGGTGAGGTCCTCATGATCTGATTGAAAGTTCTTGAAGATATTCTGATCATCAACTGTGGGAAACCAAATTCTAGACTTGATGGACTTTGTTCTCCTCTCTTCTAGCAGGATGGCGAGAAGCAACATGTGACCTGTAGGTTCCTGCTACTGCTGCGGGCAAATTTTCATCACTTCTGCCGGGACAGGAAATGTTAGGAACTTGACTGACCCTGCAGTAGAAAAAGGGGATAGTTATGCCTTTATTTTATCGTGAAAGTTGACACCCCTCGCCTTGGTGAACAAAGTGGAAAGAGCTTCGGGGTTCACCAGATTGAACATAGGTATGTTGTCATTGTTAAATAGTAGTAAAGCAGCACTTAAGTATTATTTACCTCTCCTATTTTTTTTTGCACTTTTTCTTTCTTTTTAAAAAAAGCATTGCAGCTCTTTAAAAAAAGCTTTATTATGGGTTTGTGTTTGGATTTTAAAAAAAATACTTTTGTGGTTATCTTGATCAGTTTGGGATGTATATTCATATTCCTAGGGACTTGTTTTTCCTAACATGCACAACATAGATTCTTGCTGGAACAGGAGAATGTGCGTCTCTGCAAGATTCTCCTGCTGTGTTGTGTGCCCAGGATCTTTGGACTTCTTGTCTTTCTGCGAATACAAAACTGAAATAGCACAATATATCTGCAAAGAAATTATTTATAATAATAATATAATTTATTGTCATTGTAAGTATATACACAGTATACCATACAACGAAATTTATGTTGTCGTCTCTGAAAGACTCAGGATCTTTGGACTTCTTGTGTTTCTGCAAATACAAAACTGAAATAGCGCAATATATCTGCAAAGAAATTATTTATGTTGTCGTCTCTGAAAGACGTTGGTGTTGCTGTGTGGATTACACCTGCAAAAGGGGTTTTTGGTAAGGCTCAGTAGATGGTGAGACTTTGTGAAATGTCAGTTCCGTTGTTGTCCTTATGGCTACCACCTGCAATGGGACAAAGGATTTTGCATGCTTCCTGAATTTCCTGCCTTTCTTGACTGAGCAACCCAGTCTCTTTGATGTTAAGTAGCTAATTTAATCCTTTCGAATTCCAAATAAAGCTGTGCATAAATTGGCCTTGTGTACCATATTGCTTTTCACTGCTTCTTTTAAGAGTTACTAGTGTGAAAATGCACTATATCAAACTCTTCAAATATCATTAAGTTTTCGAGTTTTGATGGTTGTTGCGGATTTCCTGGGCTGTTTGGCAGTGTTCCTAATGTTTTTCTTCTTAATGTTTTGCCAGTCTTTTTGGCCAGCATCTTTAAAGCACAGGAGTCAGAATTCTGTCTGTGCTCTGGCGTAGTTTGCTTGGATAGTTGAGTACTGTATTTATATCTGTTTGGTCAGCTCTAGTTCTTTTCAGGAGATGGGTGATTATGGTGATCAGTGTTTTTTGTTGTTGTTGTGGGTGTATTGTTGTGATAAGGGGGAGAGATTATCTGTCACTGTGATTGATGAGTGTCGTTAGCTGGTACGTTGTGTGCAGTGATCGTTGACCTTTTGCAGGCTGCATTTTTCAGTGCTGGGAGCCAGGCTTTGTTGAGTTTTAAACTTTTTTCTTTTTTGTTGAAGCTCTGCTGGTGTTTGTAGATGTCAAACCTATGCTTCTGAACTGTTTTCTTTTTAAAAAAAATATTTTATTTTTTTAAAACTTGAGGGGTGACAAAGGAAAAAGGGAGTTGGGATTTGTGAGGGAGAGGGGATTTGTGAGGGAGAGGGGAAACATGACATACTAATATCCAATCTATACCTATTGCCATATCAGATTTGAAATCATTCTATTTACTCTTTTCTGCCTTGTATGTAAAGTTCTCATTTCACTATATATATTCAGCTACTGCCTGTTGATTCGATCCATTTATTAAATAAGTCCCATCTTTCTGTTGCCTTTTGCAGGGGTTGAT